ACCAGTCCTTCGCTCCCAAGCGAAGCTGGTTCAGCGCGAATCAAACTCTCAGATGCTCCGGACAAGAGCACGTATAGAAGCATCCCTCAATATCAGAAATCCATCTCATCCCAGCAATCGGATCCTGCATCCCATCAAACTCTGGTGGCTTCGTGTTGCTGAACTCTCGGTACATCAACGAGTCACCCCCCTGCGGTCTCGCAGCAGCAACGGCTGTGGTGGCTGCAGCAACAGCAGCATTAGTAAGAGCAGCGTAACGCTCGTCAAAAGTCTCGATCAGGGTGGTCTTGATAGACCCAAACATCTCTGGTATCTCGGCTCGGATGGCAGCAGCCACCTCCTCATGAATCAACCTACGGATCTCCTCATCACTGGTACCACTGGTACCACTGCCTCTTGGGTGGTGGCGCGTCCCAACCATGATATCTCTGAAATACAACACAAAAGAAATCAGAGACATGCTCGAGTATACTCGCACTCGATACCCAACCCTACTTGCTCTATAGTACCCTAAGGATTCTTACTTGGACTGCTCACCGATCCGGCGTTTCCAGTAGTACGGGCCATTATACTACCTTCCACAGCGCATCGGTATTCACCCCAAGTCCTCCTCCTAGGATCCCAGATCACAAGTACTCTATATCTCACTAAACTCAGGCTACTCTCCGGTAGACCACTCATAAGCTCCTCGCTGCTACCTACTTACTCTCGAAGTATCTCATAGTAGCAATAACTCCTAGGCTAAGGCATCACAAATCAGACCCATTCTAGTCCTAACCATGAATACCTAGCCTACTCTAGCATGCATGACATACCACATAATATCTCATAACACATAATGTAAGGGTATTTTGGGAAATCACCGTTCGGGCGCTGGCTGATCGTACACACTGCTCTGCTCTGCTCTTTTCAAAATCCTTTTACTCTTTTAGAAAAATTTTGTTTTATTTCGAAAAATTCCTCAAATCCTCAGTTTGAGTTCAAATGCGCTCGAAGGTGCATCCGAATCCCTCAAACCAAGGCTCTGATACCAACTTGTAACACCGTAATTTTTCAAAACAATTTTTCACTTTTAAAAATATAATTTCATTCACAAATATTCTCAAATCTCAATGTATCACATCTTAAATCCATAAAAACACATCCCAAGATCAAAATGTATAAAAATCTAATAGTGTGTACTGATCATGCCGGCGCCTTCCCGCGATCCTCACTGGTACCTGAAACACATAACACAAAACACTGTAAGCATAAATGCTTAGTGAATTCCCCAACATACCACATATAACACATAGTAGCCACTCGAGGCTATAACTCTGTGGGCCCTCTGGCCCTAACTCTGTGGACCCTCTGGTCCTAACTCTGTAAACTCTGGAATACACACAACATAAATCACATAGAAATAATGCAGTGCAACACATCACATACATAGCATACAAGATACTCTGTCACATAACTCTACTTACCACTCAAGGTAAAGTATAGTGAGAAGACTCACCTCGGGTAACTCGGTAAACCTCGAACTCTGAAATACTGCACTAGCCTCCGCCTAATCACATAAATAATTACTCTAATTAATACAACTTCTAAAGGCTAGGCTAACCCCTCTCTATAAGTTCTCTAAGAAGGGTAAAAGACCATTTTACCCTTCTAATGGCTCATAAGTCCAAACACTGACTAAACCCTAAAAGTCAACAAAGTCAACGGTCAACATTGACCGAACTCGTCGAGTGCACTTGTGTGACTCGACGAGTACATGCGTGTTCTCTTCGCCCCTGGTCCACACTCGACTCGCTGAGTCAACCCTGCACTCATCGGGTTATCACAGGTCACGAATCGCAGGGCAACCCGACTCGACTCGTCGAGTCCCTTATGGGCTCGGCGAGTTCCTCCCATGAAAACACTCATCTGACCTCCTGAGGTCAGATCTGCTTCTCTAATCTATAGATCTGACTTCCCCATGACCAATAAACACGTAAAGGTCGAATCTTGGTACACATACAAGGCACTCTAGGCTTATTTTGGTGAAATCCCTTCTAACATGGCAACCTATGTCCATTTCCTCCATAGAACCACAAAAAGCAGCATGGTTCAGGCTCTCTGGACCTCAAAAGGTCCAGATCTAGAGTTTAGCACTCAATGGGACACTATACACAACTAAACAAGCCATAAAAGGGTATAGAAAGCCCTAACTTCAATGCCCTTAAGCAAAACAGAAGGATAGGATCAAATAGCTACCTCAAACTTGAAGATCCAAGCCGAAAACCCACTGAATGCAATCCTCTCGACCTCCCCTTGCTGGAAACACTTTCTCCTTTGCAAAATCACACCAAAAATGATCAAAAAGGCTCAAACTCTCTCACAACTCGCTCACAATCGCTAGGGTATCTCTCTCTGGAATGGTAGCCGTAAATGGAGGTCATAAAGGCCTTTAAATAGGGCTCAGGCCCTGAGATTTAGGGTTTCACTTTACAGCGCGGACTCGCCGAGTCCACGCATCGACTCGTCGAGTCCCTCATTAATCTAGGCAAGAATTCGCGATCCTACTCGGTGAGTCTGAGCGCCTACTCGCCGAGTCCCTCCCTAAAACTCAAGGTAAATACTTAAAATAAGATACCTGGGAATCCGGATGTTACAGTATAATGACTCTGCACGTTACCTTTCCATCCTAGTTGATAACCGTAACTCTTATGTCATTTTAATGAGTTTCTAACTCTTAGAATTCTTGACTGTTGACGGTGCTTAATCTGGCACCTAATCTTCCTTCTAAATTTTATCTCCATTGGAGGCTCCTCCTCTTTCTAGAACACACTTAACCTTACTTCGTCTACCGTAACAGATCGATGGTTTTATGTTCTAATAACCTCTCATCGTATGATGCAACACTTAGACTCAGATCTCTTTGAGTCAGAGTCTAACATGAATGATACCTCCCTCATGTTCTAATGTGATATAATCAAATTCTAGCATGTACCACTTCTATCTACAGGCTGCTTATCTTTAGCGGCAATCACAATACTTCTATTAATTGCTTCGATTATCTTTTCCTTCTCTCTTTTAACTAAAGTCGGATGCTACGTTGAACTTACTTTGTAGATTAGTCAGACTCGATTCGATACGACTACTAAGGTCGGAATAATATTTATCTTCGTAGTCATCACCGAAGCAAATGTAATGATTGAAATAAACAAATTAGCTCAATTACTTAGAGACTTAGTAACCTTGTGACTTTCCCTGATCTAGGTGTGAGTTATGTGCTTCCGATAGTATAGGCCTCTACTACCTTTCACATGTACTCATACTCATCCCAAGTATTGTCTCACAGTTCATTAAGTTATCATAAAAAGTAAATCACACAGAAAACACATAACATAATTTAGGAAATTGCATTATCTCCAAAAACGGTTACCAGATTTATTTTATTTTACATGCCTATTAAATTAGGTCACTCACTCTAATACAACTTCCCCCCTTATATCCCAAACTTCGGATAAGCTGCTCTCTAAACCCGACCTATTGTTATTTCATCAAGGATCATATGATACGTCCTTTCCTTCGGCTTCGGTGAAATATTTGGCCTATCCGTTCCTCTTTTCTTTGGGCAGTCCTTATGGAAATGCCATACTTCTCCACACTCAAAGCATACCTCTTGCTTGGCCGTGCAAAACATTTCTTGGTATAGTGACCAGTCTTCCCACACTTGAAGCAGGTTACATTTTTGGTGCATCTCCTAAAGTGCTTCCTTTTGCACTTGTCACGCCATTGTGCCTTTAGGCTACTCTCAAGCTCCTTGTCATTAGATATTGAAAATCTATTCTTTTTATTGGATTTAGAAGATCCTTCGATCTTCCTCTTCTCTCCCTCCTCAGATTTCTCTAGACTCTTTTCCTTTATTTGGATCTCCTCATTCTTGGCTGACCAGATAGCCTCTTTCAAAGTATTTGCTAACTTTTCCATTAGACGAAAGTCCACTGGTAGTCTGTAAGCGAACTTATCGACCTTAGAAACTTCTGTGGGTATCAAAGGTACCAACTTCATCTTTTCAGTGAAGGCTGGAGCATACTCATTGACGTTTAGTTTTCCTTTCTTCAGATTCTATAACTCATTGTTGATAATCAGGAGGTCTCGCTCGGAGCAATATGCTCTTTTCAACTGCATCAGTAAGTTTCCCCATGACATTCTCCTTGCTTCTCCTTTGGGCATAGTATCATCCAATAAATTCCACCAGATCAAAACTCAACCCTTTACCTGTCGGGCAGCCACCGAGAGAGAGAGAGAGAGAAGAGAGAGAGAGAGAGAGAGAGAGAGAGTTTCATCTATTTCCCGTTTTTGAAGATACTCATGCATTGGTAATTTCCCAGAGATCCAATAGTTCGTTTTCTTTGATTTTCGGGTAGCTACTTCCTAACATCGAAGCCTTTAAATCGTCCAGTTTGTTTGCCCATATTTGTCTTGGAGCCTCGGGAATCGTTGCTTTTGTTTTCTGCCGGAAAGCATCCCTTGTTTTGGTGATATTCTTCTTTGTCTTTGCTTATTTGATTCCTAACACTTGAAGCCATATGTTCCAAGTGTTTGATGTTTATTGTATGCCTCTGGTACATCTAGAGAAGAGTTTTGTATTGCTCAAATATTTGTGATAGTGGATTTGAAGCAGCTCTAGTAGTCTTGTGGTTTACTCTCAAATTGTTGAGAGATTTCCAATGCCTAATGCCTAACTTCATGCATACAACGTAATATATCTCTATACACTAACATTAAGAGAGATATATACTACAATATCATAACATATGACACATGGTTAAATTCTGAGAAATAACAACATAGTTATTTTTTTTTACCGATACATGTAGCTATACCTTTTTCCATAAGAGCAATGTTCTTACAACTTTGTACCAACTATAACAATTTTCAACCTCGATAACTAGTAACTAAACAACAATACGAAGAAACAAATGCATAATGAATCTTTATGGTACATGTTTCTATTAATGCACATACATGGACTTGATGCATATAATTCAAATCTGAATGCTAAAATGTCTTGTTTCATCATTTTTACTAACGGAAAATGTGGAGTTCGTAGTTTTGCCCCTAAAATTAGCCATGACCGTGTATTCGCCTAAGAACCCATAAAAGCTAAAAGTACCATGTTCGTCAGTTTGACTATTGATAACCCCAGTTTGCCATTCTTTTAGAAGCCTATCGACAGTATCACCAGCTGGAAGATTGTTGAAATTTGTATCAGTTAGGCACATTTGGTAACATTTTCCATTCTGCTTCAAGGCAGACCACAACATTATTCCATTCACTGAAGGGTGTGAGAAGCCTTCACGCAAAACGTCTTCCAAATAAGTTGCCTATAAGAGAGAAAAAAATATATTAAAAACAATAGTATTTAAAGATGTTATTTTTGTGTTTAAGGTAGAAAATATGGATTTAACTAATGAAACCGGACCATTGCATAAATATTTGACTACTAGCTCTTAAAAGAGCTGATTAAAAACTTAATATGCGTCTTAGAAGTCTTTCTTAATTCTTTTTATTACAATGAAAATGATTGTTTCCTCCAAAAAAAAATTATACACAACCCACGCTTCACAAAAAAAATTAAATAAAATTAAATAAAAAAAATTAAAAAATTACCCATTTGGTGTCACGAGACTCACTTACGATGACATATCATAGAATAATTTGGACAGTTGCCCCTATTGTTTAACCTTTTTAATGGGACATATATTAAAAAATTATAGATTTGTCCCATTTGACATTATTCCGATCTCATTTCAAAATAAATAAAATAAGTAAAACACATTACAACTTCTTATGTCATGTTATTTCATATACTGGGAAATTGTTAGAGAAGTCATAATATTTTCGGAAAAGTTTACTTTAGTCCCAAATTATTTCTTTTTAATAGAAAAGTCCCGATTAATATATTATTTACTGTTAAAAGAAAAAAAAAATGATTTTTTTGTTAATTTGAGCCAAAATGCAATAATCGATACTTTTATGTTCAAAAAATAATAATTTGGGACTAAAGTAAAACTTTTCCGATAATATTGGGAATTTTCTGACAATTTCTCGTCTTATCCTAATAAACACAACTATAGAGATGCAATTTATGGATCTAATGACACTCATTTCTGTCGCAAATAGTCTAGTTTTTCATGAAGGACAAAGTGAATCTTGATACTAACCTGTATATCTTGGCCTAAGGTATTCGCGATATCAACTTCCGTAAGCCAAATCGGAAGTTGTAAAGTTGCAAATTTATCAAGAATGGCTCGCATCAAAGGCAAATTCGGTACTTCAAAGTGACTTTCCAATCCGATCCCATCCATATAAACTCCAAATCTCCTCAAATCAATCATTTTCGAAATATAAGTGTCGACTGTAGATTTAACATCTCTACAACTCTCCACAACATTAAAATCGTTCATGAAAAGTGTCGCTAAAGGGTCGGCTTCATGTGCAGCTTTAAAGAATTCGTAAGTAGCATTTTTTCCAAGTTTATCCTCGTAAAAATCAAAGTGAAGAAACTCGTTGCTAACATCCCAGTGGACGAATTCGTCTTTGTACCTTGTCATTAGGCTTGTGATTCTTTGTTTCACTGCTAGCTCTAGCTCATGATCGGTTAGGTTAAGAACCCATGAAGGTATGTATTTTGGGTCTTCCCAAAAAATGTTGTGACCTCTAGCAACAATTTGGTTTGCTCGAACAAAATCAAGCATTTTATCGGCTAATGTGTAATTGTATACCCCTTGTTTAGGCTCGGTTGCAGCCCATTTGAGCTCGTTTTCAAATACGGCCGCATTAAATCGTTCCACAAACCATTTCTATAAAAGTAAATTTAAATGAACTCAGACTTTGATCATCTTTGAATAGAATGGCAATATATTAACATTTTATTTTATATTTTACCTAAAATGGCAATATATTAACATTTTGCTACGAATATAGGCATTGTACTTTATCTGTTTTGTAAAAAAATGTAGATATTGTCAATTATGTGCAAAGAATTGTAAGTGCGTTACTATTAGGTGTCATTAACATGTACGTATGTTGTTGTTATGAGTTACATATTTCTATTAATAGTAAAAAATGTAAGTATGTTGCGATTACGAGTAACATATTCTTATTATCGGGAAAAGAAAATAAGTAAGTTGCTATTATAGATAAAGAAATGTAAGTATGTTGCTATTTTGGTTTAAAAACAAAATACGTTGCCTATATTATAAAAAAGAGTAAACTACGTTACTATTTCTAGCAATTGTCAAAAAAGAACATGGTACATTCATGTGTTGAACCATAAAACATACCTGATAAGGTAAATTTCCAATGATGTAATTGTTTATAGCGGATCCAAATGGAAAATCTTTCGAAACTTGTTCCACACGGATCACTGCCCCTTGTAGCCGAGCTCCTTGTTTATCTGACACATGAATTGTGACAGCACGCTTCCTTTCCTGAATCAAATGATAGATTCATGAAGATCCACATCTAAAAAACTGAAAGAAAACAAAACAAAAACTATGCTTCATCGACTTGTACATACGGTGTTGATCTTGTACTGTTGTTGAAGTGACCATTGCTCTTTAGTAAAGGGTTGCAAAGATGCACTATAAATTGTTATGGTAATCTCCTTGTCATCAGAATTCTACATGATTTTAAAGATTTCATGTTACATATTGTTTAAATTGATATAAGAGTAGAAGTATATTGTGAGGAAAAATAAAGCAAAATATGTTGCTATTTGTGGCACCTGGAAGTAGAGTAGGGAGGGATTTGATTCTGAATTTATGTAAAATCCACCTTTGAGGAAGGACCAACATTCATGACGTGCAACAACTGTCCCTACACAAGAATTTCCAGTTGATAGCCTTGCGGTAATCAAGGATGAATTTGAACCGGAGATCTTGATCCAACCTACAACTCCCCAACAGAAAAAGTATTTAGTACTTTTTTATAAATTGATCAAATTATTAATATATAATTTATATATTTCAGAGATAATGATCAACATATGACTTGATATTTAACAAATTAACTATATTTTTTAGCATTAACATAAAATGAGAATCAATTTAACAATTGGTGAGGAATGCCTTTTTGAATGATCCCAGCCACAAAACGCGTCAAAGTTTTGAAAATGTTTCAATTTTGATTATGAAATTTTTAAAGAATTGTGAAATATGAACAATTTGCAAATATTTGGAATTTCTCAAAATAGAACTTGTTGATAAAAATCAGTTTCATAATCTTTTGGAATTTCCTAATCAAGCGTTTACGGAATTGATGATCATTTTGTTTTAATAGTGTAAAAAGAGATCAATTTGTCAGATGTTAATTAATGTTGGGGTATTTTTGTGTGGTTATGGGTCTAAACGTTGTGAGAGGATATCTAGGTGGCACCTCCTCAATGTTGTGGTCACATCCGGAATACCGCCCCACCCTAACGTCATGTCTTCTTCCATGGAGAATATAACGCAAAGGCAGGCTGGTGGGTACGGGTCACGCTCTCCACGTCATTTATTTTACCACATCACATGCTATGTCATTCTCCACACCGCTTCATTTTTGCTAGGAAATGGCCACCATATACCACACCATTTTAATTTCGTTTTTGTTTTCGTTTGTTAATATATAAAAATAATAATTTATAAAATAGAATTTTATAAAACATAACATTTAAACAAAAACATTGCATTTTAAATGAAAATAAAGACATTAAAAATACGTTAAGATAAATAAAAACATACAACCAAGGTTGTCAAGATCGGGATCTTAATCGTAAGATATTACGATCCTACGTGTAAAAACATTGTCAGGTCACAATATGATCATTTTACATGTAAGATCACAGACAGGATTGTATGATCGGGATCGGGATCCGATCCGACCCTACCATTCCATGAAAATTGTCAAATTTTGATCCAATTTTTTTTATCTTTACCCATTTGGTAGTTGACTTGGTCTCCTTACCTAATGCGCAATCGAGAGTAGCCTCATTCTTGTACTATTTTTGAACCGTAAATGACCAACAACAATAAAATTCTTTTTTTCCTTTTACGTTTTACCATCATCGATGATGGTATTGAGATTTTGCTTTGACTTATTAATTTCTTCCTTCAATAGTTCAAACTCAACAATAAACATGAGCCTTTTTCCTTGAGAGTTTGAGAAATTGTGGTTTTTAATTGAGTTTCAAAAGTTGAAATTGTTATCGATTTCCTCCTTATAGTTAAAGCAAATAACATGAAGGTTGTGAGTTGTTATTGTTGTATGATAAATAATTAGTATTTAATGCTCTTTTTAGCTATTTAACCATGTCATTAATCACTACATGACTACATGACTAGTTACTTTTCTTTTTTCAGCTATTTAACCATGATATACGGAAAAAAGTTTTTTTATATGATCAATTACCATTTTATGTAATTTTTTAGATCTCGATCCCAATCTTACGATCTCGATCTTGCAAACTTGAAAACGATCATATATAAGATTTCGATCTTGACAACGTTGCATACAAAAATAACTAACGTAAATTTGACCCTTATTTTTTTCTCGAATCTTTGCCTTCAACTCTAGCAAAATGTCATGATCTTCGGACGACAAACCTTCGGTGGTGACTGTCCTTAGAATTTGCGAATCATTGATGAGTTGTTGTTGTGGGTAGAGTGCGTCTTCTCACTCTAGTTATGCACGTTCGACTTTTTCTTCTCATTTTTGTTGTTCCCACTCAACCACTTCTTGTCGCCGAAGAAGTTCTATGTGCTCATGTCTCAATACATTTTTGTCTTGTTGCATTACTATGTGCTCCTTGAATTTCTCTTCTATTTCCACCATGTCCTTCAATTTCCTTTCACTTTCCTCCGCATGTTTAGTTGCTTGTTTCGCCTTGTCCCTTCCTACCGGTCGTCAAGGAAGGGAGACCTCCGCAATGTCTTTTGGAATTTCATCCATCCCGGCATTAAGGTATATGTGAGTTCATGCATCGTAAGCGTCAACCGAACCTGAACTTTGTGACCTCTTCGATTGTGTTTTCTAATAGCATTGGAACATAACTCCAATTTGGATATTTTCTTCAAATCTCACATGGTTTCTCAAAATTGAAACCATGGCCAATCTCCAATCGATATTGTGCATTAGCAGCTTTAAAAACATCAAAGTAAGTGCTACCCCTTTTTTCGAATAAAGCTTATTGTATATCCCGTTGAATTTGGTATACCTCCTGTTATGTTATTTCTCGTCATTTACTAATTAAGGCATTGTTATTCCGCTATGGACTTTTATTCATTTTAGCATGAAATTTTTGGAGCACCCCTTCCCAAAAAACATTTTTCTTCATACCAATTATGTCAATGATGTTTTCTAAAGTCACACATCAGGCCTCCGCTAACATAATTTCCTCCTCTACCGTCCACTAAAAAAAAGAATGATCATTGTCTTAAGTAGTAAATGGCAAGAAATGGTATGAAGAAAATGCTTTTTTGGGAAGGGGTACTACAAAAGTTCATGCTAAGATGAAGAAAATTCTATACCGCAACAACGATGTCTTAAGTAGTAAATGGCGAGAAATGAACAGGAGGTGTACCAAATTCAACGGAATGTACAATAAGCTTTATCCGGAAAAAGAAAGCGATAGGAGGGACTTCAATGTGTTTTAAAATCATGAAGGCGCAATATCAATTAAAGATGAGCCATGTTTTCAATTTTGAGAAACCATGGGAGATTTTGAGAAAATATCCAAAATGGTCTTACGTTCCAACATCGCCGAAAACACAATCAAAGAGGTCACACAATTCGGGTTTGGTCGACGTTTCTGATGCATGAACTCACATCGACCTTGACGTCGATACGAATGAAATTCTAGATGAAATTGCAGAGGTCTCCCCTCCTCAGTGGTGGTCGGTAGGAAGGGACAAGGAGAAGCGAGTTGCTAAACATGCGGAGGAAACTGAAAGAAAATCAAAGCACATCGTGGAAATAAAAGAGAAATTCAAGTAGCACATAGTAGTGTAACAAAAAAATAATGTACTGAGACGTGAGCACATAGAAATTCTTCGACGACAAGAAGCGGATGAGCACCAAAAGTTAGGCCTCTAAAGATCTTAAACTTTTGCTAGAGTTGAAGGCAAAGATTCAAGAAAAAATTAGGGGTCAATTTAAAGTAGTTAACGTTGTATGTTTTTTAATTATCGTAATGTATTTTTAGTGTCTTGTAATGCCTTTATTTTCAATTAAAATGTAATGTTTTGTTTACATGTTATATTTTATAGAATTATTTTGTTTATTTATTAAAATCCTAAAAAAAAAAGGTGACCTGAAAATTAAAATGGTGTGGTGTGGTGTGTTGTGTTGTGTGGTGACCATTTCCTAACAAAAAATAAAGTCGTGTTGGGAATGACATGACATGTGATGCGACATAAATATAATACAAAGAGTGATCTATTACCACCAACTTAATAACAAGTATTTATATCTTTTATTTATGATAACTATATATATATATATATATATATATATATATATATATATATATATATATATATATATATATATATGAATTACAGTAACAAACTTATTTTTCTTTCCAATATGAACAATGTATTTTATTTTTTATATATTATTATCATCACTAACAAAGTATAAGTAGATTGTTATAAATATATATATATATATATATATATATATATATATAATGAATTACAGTAACAAACTTATTTTTCTTTCCAATATGAACAATGTATTTTATTTTTTATATATATTATTATATTCATTAACAAAATATAAGTAGATTGTTAAAATAGTTAATAATTGTAAGAACATGTCTAATTCTTAACATTATATTTTACACAAAATTAATAAAAATGGTATTAAAAGATAGTTTAAACACTAGGCAAATGTCATAGAAACTCTTGAGTTTGCAAGTTTTTGTCGGTTTTACCTAAAGTTGTGCTTTAGGTCCATTAATTCCTCAAATTTGCAATTTTTTTTTTAAATTTTATCATTTTTGCAAATTTATCCGGTTAAACTAAATTTTTTTGCCATACTTAAGGCTTTAATAAACCAAAAAACCAAACTTAAGGGTTTTTATGAACCAGAAAAAAAAAAAAGGTGAAACCAAATATTTCTATCAAACGAAAGGGTTTTAACAAACCAGATGATAAAGTTGAAAAAAAATTACAAACATCTAGTTTTAATAAACCTAAAATCTGTAAAATGGTGAAACCAATAAAAACTTACAAATTTAAAGGTTTTTTTTATGTCATTATCCCTAAACACTATATTGTTTTTGATCTATTATACTATTTTTAACACTAGAAGGAACATTTTAGGTATATTCCAAATTGTTAACTTTTTTAAATTATAAAAATCAACCCTCATATTTATTAATTTTTTTATAAACTTGATTGATATAATTTTATTATACTAATAGTTTTGTAAATATTATTTTAATTATTATTATTATTATTTAGTATTATTATTATATATATATATATATATAATATATATATATATATATATATATATATATATATATATATATATATTACTTGTAAGATATGTCAATTATATATATTTTATGTAAATATATATTGTGTTTTATATTAGTAAAATATCCATAGACTATAAGTATATAAATTTAAAGTTGAAGGATCGTTATAAAATGCTGAAAAAACTAACATTATATTTGTTTGGTGTTAATAAATAATATAAAATCTCATATTATATTATATTATTCAAAAACACGGATTGGACCAAATTTACATCAAACTTGATGTAAAAATTAGGTTGGAGAAGCCCTTTACATTGCTCTTTTATGTAAATAATAAAATAAATGTAATTATGTTATATGTTAAATTAAATTACGTTTTACAAAGTGTGGCGCTACAAATTGTTACTCCTTCCGTTCCAAAATTATAGTCCATCTTTCTTTTTTGGTTTGTCCCAAAATAATAGTTCACTTCTAAAAATAAATAACATTTTTAACCAAATAAACATTAAATGGAATATTAAATGCAAAGTAAGGACAAAACTGTCATTTTATTAAATAAAGTTAGTGGTAATTAATGTTTTTCTTAATATGTGTGTTTTTTGTCTGTGGTCAATAATATTGTGACGGAGGGAGTATTATTCGTGTGATATTTTAACTTTTAAGTATATTGTTGGTATGACTAGTCAAACTTCGAACTAAAGAATAAATATATTACTTATATTGATATTGATTGACATTAACTAACTAGAGCAATTTCCCATAAAATAATTTGAAAAGTTACCGATTTGATTCAAATAATAATCTTAACTGGAAAAACTGTAGAAGGTTGAAGGATGAAGACTTGACAGCACGAAAGCAGGCCATGAGACCATGGTCCCGTTACCCTCCGTAATGAATTCCATTGTTGCAGCTTCATTTTTCAGAATTCCTCCATCGTAAAGTGGATCCTCGGGTTCCAGTTTACACTGTTTCAACAATTTTAAACAAATCCAAACACCCATCAAATCTTTTCTTGTTTTCGTATTTAAAAACATGAACTATGAACTCATTTTCATGAACAGTTGTCCTGAAGAAACAAAGAAATTACCTGTGTGTAAGCAGAGTAATCATAGAGGGGGGCATCTGCAACAACAACAACAATAACAAAGAGAGAAAACTTCATGAGAGAGAGAGAGAGAGATAGAGAGAGATGGGTAGAGAGAACCTGGAGAAGGGAAGATTGAAGATGGGAAAGAGAGGATGATGATAGAAACAAAGAAAGAAGAAAACGCCATTGATGTTCTGCAACTTTCCTTTGAATTTTTAATCACTATTTCTTGATTTCAAACTCATCAAAGTGAACACTTTCGAAAACATTCCAAATTCTCCCTCACGTGTAACTGAATCGATACCACAACACATATGCATACAATCTATATATTTATAGAAGGTGAGAGAGAGGGGGGTTGGACATATGTTACACAGAAGGGGGAAATTAATAAAACATAATTTTATGACGGTTATAACTTATAACATATGTTTGAGAGTTGTGTCATTTTCTACAAATCTTGTTTTTTGGTATAATGTGTCCTTAAAGGTCACGTGATGCTTATTCGTTGAATTATAACAATCTATCAATTAATTAATGATTTAACTTTTTAAGTTTTATGTGATTGTTAAATATTTTCTAAAAATAATTATGATACAACTGGCACATATGCAATATTAATGACTTTGTTGTATTATATATAGCACAAATTTATTACCAACATGATTTCTTTAGACATTTGTTTTTGGATATGAGGATCATTTTTTAAAATCTTTTATTTAAAAATGTAAATTTGGTTCATGAATTTTGTCCAACACCATCGATTTATTCTGTTAAGAACTATCATATGCGTATGATACACATTTTAAGGATATTTTTGATGCTTTTAATTAAGTATCTTTATCTTCAATTAGGAGATGAAACCACTTGTTTAAATTTGAAGACATAGAATGATGAACAAGAATCTTATATAATACTCAACAACCATCCGTATCTAGATTTGAAATAATTAACGAATTGCAAGTCTATCTTAAATTGAATAGTTAAAGTGCACCAAATAGAATTGTGAAACTAATTTGTAGGAACAAAAGGTAGGAGGATATTTAATTTCTCTTAAGTAAGGGATAATGACTTAAAAGGGTAATATATTTTTCGATTTGTACACATTTGGTCACTGAGTTTTTTTTTCGTCCACATTTACCCCTTCAACTTGTTAAACTGTATACATTTGGTCCTTATGACCGGTTATTTCAGGTTAGTCGGAAAAAATGACTTAATAGGGTAATATATTTCTCATTTTGTACACATTTAGTCCTTAATATGTTTGTACACATGTAGTCCTTAATATTTTTTTGTTTCAAAATAAGTAATTTTTGTTTTTGTTTTCATTCAATACTTATGAATGACTTCTTTTGGTTTTTCTCACGACATCTTACGTGCGACAATCATTGATGAAGTGTGTGGGGTTGTTGATGGTTATGTGTAACGTCTCCTTTTGACAACCACAAATTTTTATTTTTAAATAAGGCAAAACTCCCTGATTATAAATTCATTATTAAGAAAAAACGTTTATTCCAAAATACATTTATCGAAAATCAGAGTAATATAAAAAACGCGGAATCCTCAATACTGCTGATGAGTGTGTACAGTCATGCATTCGTCTTCAACGATAGAACTTGAAAACATAAACAACTGGGTAAGCACAAAGTTTAGTGAGTTTACCCCAAAATGCCCCATACAACAAAACGTATTATCATGCATAACGAGCCCACACTCATCAGATTGGAATACCTTGGCCCAATCAGTCATCGGACTAGAATGCCAACATACAACAGGTCCAGTCAGTCATCGGACTAGAATACCCAGGGTTTGTTGGTCTGCCGCCTCAACCAACCGCTCTTCTCGAGCCTCCGTGTCTACGACTTACAGTCGGCCCGCACCAAGTATATTGGCATACTACACATAGCAGGACCACCTCAACCTATCTCACCACCATATGGCTATCCCACGTATGATGTCGTGAGAAAAACATAAAGAAATCATTCAAAAGTACTCAATGAGTACAAAAACAAAAATGACTTATTTTGCAACAAAAAAAATATTAATGACTAAATGTGTACCAAAAATATTAAGGACTAAATGTGTACAAAGTGAGAAATATATTACCCTATTAAGTCATTTTTACCGGCTAACCTGGAGTAACCGGTCATAAGGACTAAATGTGTACGGTTTAACAAGTTGAAGGGGTAAATGTAGACGAAAAAAAAAACTCAGTGACCGAATGTGTACAAATCAAAAAATATATTACCCTTTTAAGTCATTATCCCATTAAGGAAAATCAGTAACACATCAAACTCTAGCTTTACACATACGGCTTGAAACATCAAGCCGGGTCAAACTCGAGTTTTATTGAGCTCGAACTTGGTTCCATAATAATTCCATAATTCCACATTTGTTTGGCAATAGTCACTTTATTACCATACGAAGTCATAACAATTTTAATTAAGTAGTTATTATTTGAAATTAATACATGATTTTAAAGGTTAAACAGTAGATAATATCTTCACAAATTTCAATTGTTTCCCAATTTTGTCAATTCTGGTCATATTTATTAATTTCTGAAGTTTTAAAACAAAACTAAAATATGTAGCTTTCTCTAGTTTAAGAGAATATGTATGGAAGATGCTTTACTCTCATCTCATCAATAGCTCAAAAGGTAAGACATCAAATGTCTTTATTTTTAAACCAATTCTTAAAATCCAAAAGTGTATATATATATATATATATATATATATATATATATAATATATATATATATATATATATTATATATAGAGAGAGAGAGAGAGAGAGAGAGAGAAAGAGAGAAAGATAAGATCAACTGAGAGAATAAAAAATGTTGAGAATGGAAAAAATTATTCTCAGTCATTCATTTATTTTTGTCGCAAAAGTCTTCGTCCTACGAACGGAAATGGAAATGAATACACATGCGTTTTCCAACAAAACATGTTTCCTTAAACTATGCTAATCATTACCTTAATATATATAAAACATGGTTTTTTTCGTTTTTTTAACTTTTAAGAAGCTATTTTTATCGAAAAATAATTTTAAATATACCAAAATTTATGATTTTTTATTCTCTACAAATAGACATTCATATTGATGTAGTTTTAAAATAAAAAAAAAATTATTTTTTTATATTTTTAGCTATCGTTATTATAAGTGAATAAAAATGTATCAGATTTTTAGTACAACACATTCGTTATTCACTTATGAATAAAAAATATGATCAAATTTTTTTTTTTACAGATTAAGTATCATTCATATATAAATATAACATATAATAAACTATTTACAGCTTACATCAACTATTGCCACATGCTATATTCACATATAAATAAAACCACAAGTTGTATTTATATACGAAGAACACATTTATTATAATTTTGTTACAGTTCATTTGTTATTCTTATATGAATAAGTAGTTCAAATTTTCAAAACACTTTATTTTTTTAACATACTACTTATTTATATATGAATAACAAATGAACTGTAACAAAACTCTTAGAAATATTTTATTAATATATGAATATAACATATGACGACAATTAATACACGTTTTATTCATATATATAAATATAACATGTGACGAAAGATGATGTAAAAAAAATATTTTAAGTAAGAAAACTTTATAAGGTATTATATTAATATATAAACGATACTTATACTGTAAAAAAGTTAAGCATGTGTTTTATTCATAAGTGAATAACGAATGTACTGTAATAAAAATCTGATACGTTTTTATTCACTTATTAATAACGATAACTGAAACTCTAAAAAAAATAATTTTTTTATTTTATCATAAAACTATATCAATATTGATGTCTATTTATA